CAAAATGTGTGTGAGAAAGAAAGAAAATAATGTACCTTTTCAAATAAAACTGTATTTTTCTGGTTCTTATAAGAAATTGGTAACAATCTGTTAACACTTCAATAAAAAGTCATACTTTTTATTATGCTTAAATAAAATGTTAAATCTTTATCACTTAACTGTTAAAGTCATATATTAATGTTCCACAAAAATTTTCTGTTTTGTCAGAAGCTAGACTTGCTGAGAATAATTTCAATCACCTCATTACCTGGGACAAAATGATTAAACTCAATTTTGGAATAACTTTATGGATAATTTAATGATGACAACTGTTTATGATCCTGTAGAATAAAAAAGGAAACCAGAAATTCAGTATCAGGCTACAATTTTACAATTATTTTTGTCTCAAACTTTAGCAGACCATTTAGATATAAATACTGACTATGCTCGGTTTGAGAAAGTTGGAGCTCCTTGCCTATGATATGCACTTCCCATGTGTATCATACTTCAGGTAAATCAAAACAAAACCTTTAAAATCAGTCTTAAATCTTACTTTGAACTACTTTGGCTAATCAATCCCTTTTAACTGGTTACTAAGAAGTCTCATCTTAGTGAGTTAACATGAAATTTTTTTCTCCAGTTGGTGCCCCCAGCCATCCTATAGATTAAACGGCCCTAACTCATCTAGCAGTTAAATGATATCTTACCATACCCTTTATAGATAGTTACTAAAACTTACTTCTAATACTTTTATCACCTATCATTTATAGCTCATTTCCACCATTCCCCATAATTCAACAGATTCATGCTTTAAGGACAGAGAATGTGAAGAGGCCCTCTAGGTGGCAGGTAACCTCATAAGAAATGGGTACATCCCAACTACACTGTTGATTGAGTAGGAGATGCATACCTGGCCTGGTCTTTCAGCCCCACACCAGCTCCCACAACCCCTCATGCAACATGGGCTCTTTTCTTAGTGGGATAATAATTAAAAAGTTCGGACCTTTTGCAGATCTTTCCTGAACCATAGGTCACAACTTTCTTGTGTATCAACTGGGGGAATTCAGAAAACCCCAGCTACCCTATTCTGTCCCACCACATTTCTCAATTCATCTTTACTCAGTTGGGCAGATAACAAGTTTGCTGTCCAAACAGGTTTGACCTTGCCTTTCTCCTGGAAGCACCTACAATCTATAAACATGCTTCATACTTCTCCTGAAAGAGACTCCCCTTGCTTGGCTTGCAGGGGGAAGTAGCATCCACTTTACTCTCCTCTTATTAAAAGGATGGGAATCACTTCAATTGCTGTCCTCCCTATGTGGTCTTCTTATACTGTGCAGTGCAGATCAGGGAAGGGCTGCAATGTTTGTGGCAGGAGAAACTATCTGTTCTCACTTTGTTTTTGTGGTTCTGGGGATCTAAAGGTCTCTTGATGAGCCACACCCAGAGCTGGCCCCACTTCTTAAGGGTTTTCATCACGCCACAGGTCACTTAACTTTTTCTCAGCTTTGGGCTCTCATAGCCAATTCTAGGGAAACAAAAAAAAAATCTACTCAATATCCAGCTATGCCAAAATAATTATAGTTATCTTTAAAGATATTTCAAATGTTCTGCTCTCAAAACTGTTTCCCAGTACCCTAAGCAAACTCTCTCCACTTGATTCTGTCACATCAGTTTTCCAAAAAACAGTTGGTCAACTGATTTTTTTTGCTGCTCCTGTTGTTGTTCAGTGCTAGAAACTGAACCCACGGGTGCTCTACCACTGAGCTAAATTCCTAGCCCTTTTTTGAGACAAGTCTTACTAATTGCCCAGACTGGCCTTGAACTTCTGATCTTCCTGCTTCGGACTCCGGAACTGCTGGAATTACACGTGTATACCACCACACCTTTCAAGCACATATTTCTGTTGTCACTTTCACTGCACAGTATGTCTTGAAATATTTTATCATAGCTAGCATACAGCCTTGCAAGTAACTTACACTCAACTGCTCAAATGGGAGAAAAAAACAGACAACTTCTGCAAAGTTAAATTTACCTATGTGAAACAAGTTAACTGTGCCATGTAAATTCTGACAGATAACCAAGTATGAACAAAATGTTAGCAAGACAGTAATAAAGAAGAACTTTTACCTTGTGCCAGAGCCTAGGAAAGAAATTAAGTGGGATCAATGCAAATAGCAATATAAAACACTGTGTTCAAAAGATACCATTTTTTAAAATTTTTATTATAAAATCTGTATTATAGAAGAATTAGTGAGGGAAAGTACACAGGGGGGAAAAAACAGTCCATAACAACTTCACTGTTACATGTAAATCCCTCTAGTCTTTTTTCTATTCATATGTATATCCTTAAGGCCAAACTGTTTGCTTTTTTCATAGCAGATACTGTGATTATCTTTCTTTGCCATTAAGTAGTCTTCTACGAACATCATAATTAGTGGTGCAGAAAAGCCCACTGCATGGCTGTGCTATGATTTCCTTAACCTGCTGATGCTGAATTCTCCTTAGTTATAATGCTGCCATAAACAATATTGTTCTTAAATTTTTACAATTCTGATCATTTTAAACAAAATTATTTTCATTGTTGTTGTTGCAGATGGACACAATACCTTTATCTTATTTATTTATTTTTTTGGATTGAACCAGTGCCTCACATGTGCTAAGCAAGCACTCTACCACTGAGCTACCACCCCAGCCCAAAAAAATTACTTTTGATCAAGTTGTTTCTTAAAAATCTTCATGAAAAAATTTTCCCTAGTTAACCACAACAGTGGCATTTCTGCAGCCTAGTCCTTAGAGGATTTTTGCTGGAGAAACGCAGGGAATTTTCTGTAGGTCAGGCATTCCTGTCACCACACAAGAACAAAGGCCCATAGCCCTGAGTTGACATTTTCAGGAGGGAGGTAGAAAGCGTGCTAACCATACAGAAGGGCTAGGCCTATAGATAAAAAGGACTTGAAGGCAGCTTCCTTGACAGGAATTGTAATCCTGGAGCTCCCTTAAATATGCAGTCTTACCTTTGCATCTAAGCCCCATAAGAAATCTGTGAAGCAGGTCAGGCAGGTATCTTTCTGTCCTACAGGTGGGGAAACTGATCTCTTCAGACCTGAGAAAGGTCTAAAGAACCTCTTCCTTGTAGTTTGGCTGGCCACTGACCTTAGAAGTATTATGAGAATACTCTCACCAGAGTCTGACATTTCACCAGTGAGACCACTGGGCTCCCTAGCCAACTGCCAACATACAATCACTCCTGCAAGTTCTTTGCTCATTAAACATAGATCTTGTCCCATTAAGACAACATAGCACTAGTTAAAACATACTTTCCTATAAAATAGAAAGGTTTCTATGATGTCTGAAGTAATCCAGTTTAAGCCACTGTTGAGGTGGGGAACAAACCCAGGGCCTTGAGATGCTAAGTATATGCTCTACTACTGAGCTACCTCCCCAGTCCAAATGTCATTCTTATTGGGATGTAATATATGCAATTTTCTCAGACAAGAAAAATGGAACACATATTTGAACCAAGAAGACTAACTAAATACCTGAATTTTAAACTTGGCATAAGCTTACGGAGGGTTAGCTCATTACTTACATCATACATATACTCTTTTTTGGAACTTAGAAAAGTCAAGCCCCCAACCCTTCGGTGGTATGCCCCTTTCTCATGTGCCTTCTCATAGAATTTAATTTTTTTAAAAAAATTCTATAGATGGAACACATGGGTCTTTTTTTTTTTGTACCAAGGATTGAGCCCAGGGTGCTCAACCAATAAACCATAGCCCCTTATTTTTTATTTTGAGATAGGGTCTCACTAGGTTACTTAGGGCCTTGCTAAATTGGTAAAGTTGGTTTTGAACTTGCAACCCTCTTGCCTTAGCTTCTCAAGCTGCTGGGATTGCAGGTGTGTGTCACCATGCCCCACTTAGTCTCCTTAAAGAGACTCTTTCAAATATGAAGCTACTTAATGATCACACACTCCCAGCATCTTTGTGAGAATTACTTCCAAGGCTAAGTTAAAAACTAAATCAAAAGTAATTATCAGTCTTTGTACTGAGAAAACTCGCTGGTGCCAAATTTTTCAAGGTCCATTTTAAAAATTAAAAATATATTCTTTCATCTAAAATAATAGAAAACATTCCATCAACATTCTTATAACATGTTGCAACTCCCACTAAAACTACTGAACACTGTCAGAACATTCACATTTCTTAGGAAAGAATCTGCCCTCTCCCTCCACTATCTGTGCAGTATCTCATATACTATAAAATTAGATGCCTACTGACCTGTACTCATGTTTAAAAAGCTATTAAAGCATTCAAGAGCTACACTGTTCAACATAATAGCCACTAGTCACATGTGGCCAGCGAGCACCTGGAATAGTTGGTTTTGTTTTATGCTGTTTAGTGTAGAACACATACTGGATTTTGAAGTCTTAGTACTAATTAAAAGATACAACTTGGGCTGGGGATATAGCTCAGCTGGTAGAGTGCTTGCCTCACATGCACAAAGCCATGGGTTCAATCCTCAGCACCACAAAAAAATAAAAAATAAAAATAAAATGAGTGTGACATATATTTTTAAAAAAAGATACAACTTTTATACTAGTTGTATGTTGCCATGGCAATATTTTGTACATGTTGGACTAAATAAATTCATTTAATCTGTTTCCTTTTACTTTTTTAATATGGCTAATAGAAAATCTATAACGTGTGATTCACATTATATTTTTGTATGGGATTCACATTATATTTTTGTACGTAAGTACTCTTGTTACTTTGGCCTATCCTTTTCCCTCAATCTTCATATGCATCATAAAATAGATTTCTACATTTTGATCGTAAGCAGTCTTCACCCAGAGCAGAATCCAATCCAATCCAAAAAGCAAACTGTAAGAAGAACAAGTGCTACCAGAGACCCAATATCATTCTCCAAGGCTTCCCAAGGAAGCGCTCCTACATGTACTGCCTAGAAGCAGTTCTGTTTATAAACCTAGCACACCCAAGTTTTCAAATCTAAATCACCTGGCAAATGATCATGAATTCCTCGGTTTAAGGGTGTAGTGCAGACTCTACTGAAATCCAGAGAATTGTCCAATATGGCATTTATCCTTCGAAAAATATTGGCATTGCTACACGTGGAGAGTGCAGGCGCTTCCTGGTTGTCCCAGCAATCTTTTATCCTTCCCACTTCTTCTTCCTGGACACAGAGAAAAAATACTTAGGTTTCCTACACTCCTTTATGGTAAACACAGAGACACTGTACTGCCCCCTCATAAGTTAAAGTAAAAAGGGCTTGAGTTTCTTAACTCTGTAGTAAAACACTAAACAAGTGTTTACTATGAACAAAGTACTCAGAGAACTGTAATAGCATTAACCAAAATATGAAGATCTCAGAAACTTCCTAGTCAAATAGGATACGTAGGAATTCACATGACAAGTTAGCAGCAGCATAAGTTACACAACTAGACAGACTTGATTCAAATATTGGGGGGGGGGGTATATGTATACACTGGAACATTGTTTGACATACAGGAATGCAGTACTGAAAGCTACAACATGGATAAACCTCAAAAACATTATACTAAGCAAAGAAATCAGTAACATAATACAACATGTCACTGCATAATGGTCACCACTACATAATTGTCCCAGTTTTTTTTTCAGTTCAAAGACTTCTTTATACTCTTACATCATGTAATTATTATATGGTATAATTCCATTCACCATGCCACTTAAAAGGTAAACAGAGCAGCAATGTATTCACCAATGACATATGGATGTGCATTCGTCTTCTCCTGCCCAGCCAGCCATGAGCCTAGAATTCTCAGTCCATGGTGACTGTCAGTGACCAACTTTTGTGATTTGTTTAGAGTGCTACAGTACTAAAAGTATTGTCACTCAATTCAATGAGGAGCAGTAAGCCCAGGGGAGCAGGTATATAGCAAAGCTGCCAAGAGTAAGTCATGTGATATGGTAAGACTCACATCTTTCCATGATAACTAAACCATATAGTTCATCTGCCAGCAATACATTATTAACAGGTGAAGTATTTCTTTTTTATTATGGGTCAATATAAAAACTATTCTGTAGGCTTCAAGATGAAAATGATTATGTTCACTGAACAGCTTGGAAATACCTGTGGAAAGAGATTTCATGGAATGAAAAATTCTTTTTAAAAAAGGCTTCACATAATGGTCATGCCCCACTTTTTTGCAAAAAAAAAAAAATGGCATAAAATCTGTAATGATTATGTGGTAAATATGGTACATGTTATGAATTCATTTAAATAAAATACCCAATAAAACTGAAGATAGCAGTGTGACATAACTGTCCTATGTACAAATATGAGCACATCAAAGTGGAATCTCACAGTCATATACCTCCACAAGAAATTAATTTTAAAAAATAACTATGGGTAAATGAAAGATAAAAAGAGAGAAAGAAGCAGGATGTAGGGAAAGGGAAGGAGAGAGGTACTGGGGTCAGAATTAAAATAAGATATATACCATGCTCTGTAATTATGTCAAAATGGATTCTACTGTCATGTATAACTATAAAGAACCAATAAAATAAAATTTTAAAAATGAAATGTAAGACAGTTGGGCATAGTTGCGTATGATTAATCTTAACTTGGGAAGTTGAGGCAGGAGGACACCATGTTCAAGGCCAGCCTGGGCAACTTAGCAATACACTGTCTCAAGAGAAATATTAAAATAGGGCTGGGGATGTGGTTCAGTAGTACAGTACTCCTGGATTCAACTGCCAGTACCAATAGATACAAAGATAAATAATAAGGAAATCTAAAGATTACTTGCCCAGGGCTGGAGGGATGATTAGGGGGCAGTGGCTTATGAGTAAAAGGTTCCTTTTTGAGGCAACAGAAATATCCTAAAATTACATTATGGTGATAGTTGCACAGCTCTGTAAATATACTAAAAATAACCAATGAATTAATGTTGAAAGGTGAATTTTATGATGCATAAATTATATCTTAATACAACTATTTAAAAATTTTTGCTTCTACTATTTATTAACTATGTTATATCAGGTATTTAAACCTTGTGCCTTGGTTTCCCCATTTGTGAAATGGGAAAAGGGCACCCACAACTTTTTCATGACATGTATAAAGCATTTAGCCTGGCACCTGCCATACAGTAGCCATTATTTTTACATCTGAAGATATAATTATAAGAGAGGATGGGGTAAGCATTAAGCAACTCATGATGTTAAGATAGGAGGATCACAAGTTCAAGGCCAGCCTAGACAACTTAGCCATACCTGGTCTCAAAGTAAAAAAAAATAAAAAGGGCTGGGGGGTATAGTTTAGTGGTAGAGACAGCCTGTCTAGCATGCTCAAGACCCTAATTTAACCCCTGGTACTGACCAAAAAAAAAAAAAAGTACATACAACTATTTACTGGCATAAGACATGTAAAACATTAACGAAAAGAAAAAAAAAAAAACTCCAAGATACAGAATCATGAATTAAACCGTATGGAAAAACTGTTATTTTGGTTTTATCTTAATACCACTGCTATCCACCATGTGCCCAAAGACATACATTCTTCATTCTTCATTTCTCTCACTTTCCACATTCATTCCTGACATTGTAAATAGTGAAACACTGGTGGGACAGACTGAATTTTCTAAGGGGAGTCTGCTTTACCAAATCTGATCATTCCCAATTATCTTGGGGAAAACAAATAGAAAGCAGACCAAGTAAAGAAACTGACACTTATCTGACAGCTGGTCTCATTAAAAAAAAAATAAGCCTGATATCACTTTGTTTAGCTTTTAAAGTCCAGGTAAGCATGAGAAATGACCAAATGCATTTACAATTCATCAACTTTGCAGGAAGACTTTAGATGCACAACTTGAACCCCAAACTGGTATTTTTTGCAAGCCCTGAGGATAACCAAAATATCATTTAATCTTGTTTTCCCAAACCCTCTGAAAGGTACCATTATAAGGCCCTTTTTTACAACAGTTCATTTCTAAGATGATTCTCAATTTCACTAAAGTAATTTTATAAAGGCTAAGATGCAAGAATTTAGTCCACAATTTTTTTTTTTTTTTTTTTTTTTGGTACTGGGGATTGGACCTAGGGGCACTGTCACTGACCTATATCCCCAGCCCTTTTTATTTTTGAGTCAATGTCTGGCTAAGTTGCCTGGGCTGACCTCCAACTTGGTGTCCTCCTGCCTCAGCCTCCCCAGAAGTTTGAATTACAGGTGGGTGCCACCGGCTTTGGTCTGCAGATCTTAAGGCTATGTGCCTCGTTTATTCACTGACTAATAAATATTAACCAATTGTCTGCTATCTACAGTGAGCACCACAAAGGTCAGGAGATTTAAAGAATCAAAACAGTTTTGAAATTGGGACAAGGAACTAAGAACTGATTGTGTTGTAAACAACCACACTACAAGCTACAATGTGCTGTAAAAATATGTTGTCTGCTGGGCCAAGGTGGCTAGAAGTGGCTCCTGGAAGTGGGGAAAAGAGGAAGGTCTGAAGAATATAGACAGTAAAGAGGCATTAGAGTGTTCCAGTGTGGCATAGCATTAGGTATAGGAGTAAAGAACGACACTGGAAAGGCAGCCTGACACGCCAGGAGTTAGTTAGCATTGTTTTACAGATCAGAGATTACCAAATTGTTAAAAGCTCCTTAAAAGGAGAAATGACCAAATGCATTTACAGTTTATCAACTTTGCAGGAAGATTTTCGCGCGCGCACGCACACACACACACACACACACAAATTTACTTACTATAAAAGAAGTATTGTATATGTGGATTCCCAGATCCTGGCCACATCTGAAATCAAGTAAATGACTACTGTATGTAAGTCTTAGGAGACTATCCACAAAAATTGGAGAGATGAGAGAAGGACCAGTGAGAAAAGTGTCATAGTAATCTAGGAGCAAAGGCAGATTTAGAGGCCTTCTGGAAAAAATTTATTCCTCAGGAAGGTCTGAAACCTTACCTCAAACAGCCTGAAAAAAAAAAATCCAATTTAGGAACATATCTGGCCACCCTGCCCTACTCCTAATCTCATGAAGGAATATGCATCTTATTCCCAAACTGGACAAATGACATCTGGCATTCTTCCCTTCTCCTTCTCACATATACCAAATCAGAGATCTAGCTTAAGATGACTGGGTAATTAGGATTATCCCAAACTGCTTGATCTTATCAGTAAATGCCAATGTTTGCCTTGAATGACCAATTTGGAAGCAAAAAAACAAAAACAAACCCAAAAAAATCAAAGTCAGCACTGTCCAATAAAAAACAGTTCTCTCACTTTTCTTACAAGTACAATAGGGATAAAAGTAGTAATACCATCTCATAGGGGGTTCTGTGAATCAATACACACACAGTACTGGCACATAATTATGTGCTGAGCAAATTAATGTTGCTTGTCAATAGTATTATTACTATACCATGGGATTAGAGGCTACCTCAGGGATCTTTGAGGAAAAGGATTTATTTGATCATTAAATGAAGGAAAAAAAAAACAGTACACTACATAGGGCATCTACTCTTCTGATGATCCCAGGCCGTTCTATACTCATAACTCTTCCCACTACTTAGGAAGCTTAATTAAAATACTGGATACATGGTACAAATAGAACTGTCTAAAATCTGAAATCTACTACAGAACATACTGATCCTTATAAATTCTCTAGTTCAATGAATTCATTATTTCCAAAATGGAAACTATTATAGTTTCAAAATGGAAACTCCCTAAAATCTGAATCTACTACAGAATATATTGATTTTTGTAAATTCTCCAGTTAAATGAATTGTTTCTCATTTTCAAAATGGAAACCCACTATCCACTCCTATAATCATAGTTGCATTTACTTTGCACAGTTTGCTTTAACTTTTAGCAATATTTAGTTCTAAGATCAGATCAATGTTTTAATATGATGAAAAGTGTTTTTTCTTCTTGGTTGTTTTATTGCCTTGTAGCTTCTGCTATTACCTTTGACATATCATGTCATAAAAAGAGATAATTTTGCAGCTTTTATTTTAACCTTTAATTGATCTTTTTCAGTGATTAGGAAAGTAGCCTTTAAGACTGCACAGATGGGCTGGGGTTGTGGCTCAGCGGTAGAGCGCACGCCTCGCACCTGCGAGATCCTGGGTTTGGTCCTCAGCGCCACATAAAAAAATATATGAATAAAATAAAGCTATTG